TATCGCCCCCACAGCATATCGGTCCTCATTTCACCCACCTGGGACGGATGGAAGGCTGATTTAAACTTCAGCCGGTGAGATTAGAACCACTGAACTGCAGATAACAGTCAGCTGAAGTGGCCTGCAGTACTGCACCCTAACCACTGCGCCACCTCGGCTCTCAAACTTTACAGTAGTTAATGTTAAAGATAGACAAAACAGTTTGAAATAGAAATGTTCTAACCACAAAGGGTGCTGTTCCAATTGCAGCACAGTTGCTAGAAGATTGGAGTGATCAGGGGGATCTGACATATCAGGCATTGTCTGATCTCAAAATGGAACACTCCAGTTGCAAAGTGGCAGTCCGTTTCAGGACTGGGCCACAACGTTCTCTCCTAGGCCCAGTACTCTTCAATATCTTCATAAATGACTTAGCTGAGGGAATAGAAGGGGAACTTACCAAATTTCCAGATGATACTAATCTGCCAGGAATAGCCAACCCCCTAGATGATAGGCTTAAGATCCAGATGGATCTTGACAGACTTGAACACTGGGCCCCATCTAACAAAATGGAATTCAATGTAGGGAAAAGTAAAGTCTTACGCTAAGGCAGAGGTGGATTCCTACCAGTTTGGTCCGGTTTGGCCAAATAGGTATTAAAAATCTGGTGTACCTTTTCGAACCGGTAGTAATGGCAGCCTGGCCACGCCCCCAAACCGGTTCTCCTGGTTCTTGGGTTTTGCTTCTGCACATGCGCAGAACAATTTTTATTATACTGGTTGGCCACACCTGCCCGCTCTGACACTCACCCTTCCTCACATTTGCCATGTGGATCCACAGAACTGCCTCCTTCTAACTCCTGCCTACACATAAGTAAGCAGCATTCATGCTAGCCTAGCCCTCCTCTACCTGGTCAACCGTTCAGGTAAGGGAAAAAAGGCTTTAAAAAGTAAAAGTGGGGGGGAAGCGAAAGTAAGAGAAAGAAAAGGAAAGAAAGAAGGTGGTATTAGAAGGAAATTCACTTTCCAGCCAAGAGATTCTTGGCAAAGAGGAAAAACAAATGCTGTCACTTTAAATCAGAGTCTCCAAATAGCATAGCTGGCTGAGGAATTCTGGGAGTTGAAGTCCACAAGTCTTAATGCTGCAAATCTTGAAGACCCCTGCTTTAAATTGAAAAGCTGCTTGGAAGTTTTTAATTGTAGAAGGAAAGTGACATTCAGCAGTTTGTTTCTGGGTCAGCTGAACAACAAACTGGATAAAAGGAAGGATTCTTATATGGTTCTATGTTTTTGAAATTTTGGGGTTTGTGCAATATGGGCTTTATGTTTCTAAAAGGGTCTGGATGATTCCCGTTATGGCTAAATGACTTTTGTCCTGTCTCAGATCTTGAGTGTGGGGCTGCTTACTCTGATTCTACTACTGTGTTTTGTTAGCTGCCAAATTTTGCCACTGGGAAATTTCAAAATATCCTGTCTTGAATGGGTTTTCTACCGATCTGTTTGCCCGCTTGCGTGAATTGGGCCAAACTTTCTATAGGGTCATTATCTCTATCTGCTACTCGGAGGTCATCTAGTCCAACCCCCTGCTGCAGCAGGAAATCTTACATTGTCTGGATTATTTTGGTGAAAGGAAAATTGCCAGAAAGGAGAAGGAGTTTACCAGGACAAGGCTGCCATGCAGAGGAAGGCAGAGCTAATCCTTGACTTATGACTACGATTGAGCCCAAAATTTTGGTTGCTAAGCAAGAGCATTGTTAAGTGAGCTTCACCACCTTTTTCTCAATCCATGACATCTCCTGGTGAGTGACATCAAATTGGCCATGCCCACCCAGTCACATGACCAACCAGCTATGCCCACCCAGTCACATGACAATGAAGCCATGCCTGCCCAGTCACATGACCAACAAGTCATGCCCACCAAACACACCACACCCACAGAACCAGTAGTAAAAATTTTTGAAACCCACCCCTACAGTTAGGCAAGTAAAACCAAAAGTACTCATATAGACTGGGTGAAACCAGGCTTAATAGCAGTAATTGGGAGAGGGATCTTGGAATCTTAGTGGACAACCAATTAAAATATGAGCCAGCAGTATGCAGCGACAGCCAATGTAATCCTAAATTTCATTAACAGAGGAATACAATCAAGTTCAAGGGAGGTACTAATACCACTCTATAAAGCCTTAGTAAGACCACACCTAGATACCGCATCCAGTTTTGGTCACCACACTATAAAAAATGATGAGACTGTAGAAAGAGTGCAGAGAAGAGCAACCAAGATGATTAGGGGACTGGAGGCTAAAACATGTGATGAAAGATTGCATGAACTGGGCATGACTAGTCTAGTGAAGAGAAGGACCCAGGGAGACATGATAGCAGTGTTCCAATATTTGAGGGGCTGACACAGAGAGGAGGGGGTCAAGCTATTTTCCAAAGCACCTGAAGACCAGACAAGGAATAATGGATGGAAACTGAACAAGGGGAGATCCAACCTGGAAATGAGGAGAAATTTTCTGACAGTGAGAACAATCCAATGGAACAGCTTGCCTTCAGATGTTATGGGAGCTTCATCATAGGAGCCTTTCAAGAAGAGACTGGGCTGCCATCTGTCAGAAATGGTGTAGAGTCTGCTTGGGCAAGGGGTTGGACTAGATGACCTACAAGGTCCCTTCCAACTCTGTTAATCTGTTAATTTCCAGGATGGTGGGTCCAACAAAAGCAGGGACCCTTTATTAATAGGAACTTGGTTCAGTTAATGTATCCATGTGTCCAGAGAAATCAGAGGGAAATATCTATGTGTCCTTCCAATAAAAGATAATCTAAAATGCTTCAGCCAAGGAAACTAAACTTTGATGGTATGAAACCTCTTCAAATACTAGTTTATGGTTAATTCTGACTCCTTCAGAGCTGGTGTTTAATTTTGAACAAGAAAAATGCACAGCTTAGACATTTTGAATAAAACAATCAGATGTGTGTTTGTGCCACTTAGTAAAACTAAAATACCTTATGCAGATTGTAATGAAATTGATATTTTTACCACTGTAGCTATTAGAGAGACAAAAGAGGCACTGGAGAATGTGAGCGGATGTCTGGAAATGCTACAGGAGGGCACTGAGAAGCTGCACACCAGCCTGATGGATGTGATGGAAGACTTGATAGATACTCTTAATGATTCAGCTTGCATGTCTACCCAGGTTGCTTCAACTTGCAACCTTATCAGAAATTCTTTGAATCAGCTGACCATTAATGCTAATTACAGCAAGGTAAGCTATACTCTCCATGCTTCTCTTAAAAGATTGGCTTCTTCCTCTTCAGAAGAAAGATAGGGCTTACTTGGCTGAACGTTAAGAAGATAGAAAACTTGTACACTGGAGAAACAGTGTAGATTTTCTTGCTGCGCCAAATATTTATGAGATATCTTAAACCAAGTGAACTGTCTTCATTCCCACACTCCTTAGCTTTCCTTCATGTTGCAGAAAAATATAGACTTTTAGAGCATCTCACTATGTAGAGATGTCTATACTTGTAAGGGAAGGTTTACTTTCAGGAAAATATGTCTGTCCTTTAAAAAAAAACATTTTATTTGAAGGTAGTCAAACTACTTTTAGGATTAATAGATAAACAGTTAGAGAAAAGGCATGGAAGATTATTTCAATATATGATTTCTGTAGCAAGATTATTATATGCAAAGAGACAGATTCAATACTACCCACTATGGAGGAATGGTTGGTGAAGTTGACAGATTCTGCTCAATAAATAAATTGACTTCTTTGATTATTAAAAAAAAACTACATTTATTGGTGGTTGGGAGTCTCCTATGGATTTGTATAAAAATGAAAAAAATGAACTTGTGATGTATGTTTTAGTTAGGTAGGATAGATCATAGAAATAAAAGTAGAGGTTAAAACATATTTTTTTCTTCGAAATCTTTTTTTCTTTACCATTAACATGACATTAGCATTTTGCAAATTTCTGTATTTGTTTTTTGTTCAAACTTTGTTTTATTTCTTTTAAAAAACACAAATATTTCATCATTCGTCAATCATTAAAACATTGAAGTACAATTTTTTTTGTATGCCCCTCCCTCCCTCCCCCCCCCAACCCCCCTCCTCCCCCCCCCCCCGACTTCCCAGAACCCGTACATAGTATGGATTTTTAACTAACACAGTCTAAAATCTATTGAGAAAAAAGAAATAAAGAAATTAATGACATTCTACATTGACCTTAGCTTCTTCTTACTGAACTAACTTTTAACAGTTTAAATCATTTCTGATCTTAAGCATAGGCTAACTGGAATTTCTTGGTCCCGTATTTATTTTGTATATAGTCAATCCATTTTTTCCACTCTCGTTTATATCTCTCATTTGAGTGATCTTTAAGATATGCCGATATTTTAGCCATCTCGGCTAAGTTTGTGACTTTCAATGTCTATTCTTGGATTGTAGGCAAGTCTTCCTTCTTCCAGTGTTGCGCCACCAACAGTCTTGCTGCAGTTATTAGGTGCAGAATCAAGTTAGTCTCTACCACTGTCTCTACCATATGTACTAGGTACATATACCTAGTAAAAATAACTGAGGAATAAACTTTATCCTTCTTTTAAAAATATTTTGCATAACCCGCCATATTTTTGTATTTGTTAAATGTTATAGTAAAATTGTTCACTTAGCAGTCTACATGTCAGTGTAAATTTGGAACATCACATAGTTTCTATTGAATTTATGATGTGCATTTTTAAGATAACGAATAAATATTCCAAAGTTGGTATAGTTGGACTAGTTTCTCAGCAACATTGTTTCTATAGCTTAAGTCATAAATCTGTTTGCAACCACGTAAGCGTGTTTCATATGTATTCGCAAAAGAGACAGATAAAATATTTGGATTAAATAGATAGGAAATCTGGAGTCCTTGATGCTCTATGGGCTTGGTGATTTCTTTCAGATGTTTAATTACCAAACTATCATATCCCACCACTGCACTGAAGCTAGAGGATAAGCAACACAGTGCTAGTAGGATATGAGGGTGTCTATTACTCTTTCTCTCCCCCCCCCCCCAAATTGTCTAAAGCTCCCCAAATTAGATTGAAATACTTTTAATTTATTTTCTTTAAAAAAATCTGCTGGGGGAAAATGACACCAATATGAGTTTTCAGCACATGTACCAATAGATGATTGGCTACTATTATGTTGATTGATGTAGACAATCTCAGAGCATCATAGGTTTGTATTACATATGCAGCTCACATGAAAATCAATTTTATTGATTAGCTGGAAGGCCAGAGAAATAATCTTTAAAATTTGCTTCTCCCTCAGCAAAACCTGTAACATAAAACAGTGCAAATGTTTCTAGTGAGATGATTGAAGAGTGTCTACATTGGCAAGAATAATGAAGGAAAGTTTAGGATGCTTTTTGTGATATTAGGATAATGCAGTTATCCTATAAACAGCAAAACTTAAACTTCTTCTATAGATTGCAATATTAACCTGAAATTATTTTTCCCTTCTTTTAGTTACCAGGAGTGAACCCTCAGCTTGCCAAAGTAAATGAAGTCCTTAAAATAGACCTTTCCAATCTCATTCAAAAGGTGCGATTGTGCCTGGTTAAGACACACCTATTTGGCTACATGTAGCATGCCAAATGCCATTCTGTTGTTTATCTTGTTGCTTTGGATATTCATAAATTATTTCTACAAGCAGTTCAAATGTGGAGGATGTGCACCAAGGAAACTCACAGTTTCTCTGTTAATATTTTTTAGCATTTGCAACTGAAGTACAAGAAGAAACACAATGTAATCTTCTTAAGCACAAGTCAACTTACACATACATTTTTAAAAATCCTTATTTATAGTACATACAGGTAGTCCTTGACTCATAATTACTTATTTAGCAACCATTCAAAGTTTACAATGGCACTGAATACAATAACCCTCACAATTATTGTTATGTTGCTGCAGCATCCTCATGGTCATGTGATCAAAATTCAAGCCCTTGCATTCACGATGGTTGCAGCATCCCAGGATCATGTTATTGCCAATTGTAACCTTCCCAGATGGCTTCTGACCAACAAAGTCAATGGGGAAAAACAGATTTTCCTAACAACCATGTAATTCACTTAACTACAGTGATTTGCTTAACAAGCATGGCCAAATATGATATAAAATTGGGCGTGACTCATGAAATGGAAATTCTGATTCCTACTGTAGTCATAAGTTGACGACTATCTTCTGATTTAGGATGGAGTATTCTATTCCAAAAATCTTCATGCTTCATTTCATTCTACTGACTGCTAACCATTAGGAACTCTTAGCTCAAAACTGGAAATCTTTATCATTTAAGTTGGGAAGGGCAAATAGCTTGGGTGGTTTTTTTGGTTCCACCACAAAACTGTACTCGACTAAACTGCGTCCGACTAAACCGCGTAGCTGACATCATCAACAGGGCGACAACAGTGCGGAGACAGAAGCACGCTGTAAACCCTAAACCTAAAATTAACCCCTAAACCTAAACCTAACCCCCCTAAACCTAACCCTAAACCTAACCCTTAACCTAACCCTAAACCTAACCCTAACCCTAACCCTAAACCTAACCCTAAACCTAACCCTAAACCTAACCCTTACCTTAAGTTGAATCGGCTTTCTTTCAAAGCGCTATTTAAAGCGCTCTTCTTTCTCCGTGCTGGCTGTTGTCGCCCTGTTGATGACATCAGCAACGCGGTTTAATCGGGCGCGGTTTAGTCGAGCGCGGTTTTGATGGGTCACTGTTTTTTTCTTTGCATAATATGCAATTTGTGGACATATAAGATATGTATAAGACATATAAGAGCCAAGGTGGCGCAGTGGTTAAATGCAGCACTGCAGGCTACTGCTAGATCAGCAGGTCAGCGGTTCAAATCTCACCGGCTCAGGGTTGACTCAGCCTTCCATCCTTCCGAGGTGGGTAAAATGAGGACCCAGATTGTTGGGGGCAATATGCTGACTCTCTGTAAACCGCTTAGAGAGGCCTGAAAGGCCTATGAAGCGGTATATAAGTCTACTGCTATTACTTTTGCATCTCCTTGTGGATTATGCTTATAATATCTGAAGCCATTGATTTCTTAACTTTGAAGAGTTGTTAGACACATTTATGACTTTGCAGCTACAGTACATGTGCTGTACATATACATGTAATTAGTGTTTCTTGCTTATGCAAATCACAAGAGCCTGTATTCTAAAACACCGGGTTGCTGTGGGCAGGACGTGGGGAATTGAGTCGTGGGAAATCAAAGAAGGTTTGTTTGAACCAAATAAATCGTAATAAATGAATATATTGTTGAAACAGGACCACGGTATTTGCAGGCATTTCACAGAGGCTATTCTATATATGTTGATGCTTCCCACATATTAGAGAAGAAGAGTGATTTTCCACTTCATGTCGTACCTCAAGAACATAGAGAAAGAGAGCTGAATTTAAATTGGCCCTTGGGAAGGTTTTTGCCTGATAAAAGCCAGTAGTCTTCTAAATTTTTTGAGGTAATGAGGGCTAAGATCGACCTATTATCAGTAGGCCTAAGGGACTGCTGATAAGTAGAACCTTCAGTGAGCTCACACAGTGGTCAGAATGCTTGAATTTAGGTGGATTCTGGAGTAAGAATGTGCCCTTATTGTGTTTGCAGTTTATTTCAGTTTCTAAAATTCAAATGGAGCGATAATGTACAGAGTTAACATTAACAAGGATTAATCTGCTTCTTCTTAAATACAGAAATCAATGCTATGTTTTGCAATTGAGATACTGATGGATGTGTTTATTCCAGGGTTATGCAGCATTTAATGATACTCCTCAACTCGTACGGGATCAAACAAAGAATATTTTATCAGGTAAGGAAGATTAGGGGATTAATTTGTTGACTGAAAAAGTTTGTGATTGTAATACAGCACTGAATGGAAAACGGGAAACTTCCTATAGAAGAATGAGAACAAAGAATTAAAATATAGGCCTATTAGTAAATAGACGCTAGATATACTGAGGGGTCCTTGGTGGTCTCTGAACTTGGCTGTTTTCTGGCAGATATTTCATCACCAAAACTAACATCTTCAGCACTGATGATATTGCCTAGTTTAATAATGAAACTACTGCAGGAACACAACCAAGCTCAGAGAGCAGCAAGGATCTCATAGTTCAAATATTGATCTACAAATATTCTCTTCCATCAATAACACTAAATATATCAAAGTTTGGTGATTCTAAATTGTTCTGCATTTTACAATCGTAAGCATCTAGAGCCATGATGGCAAACCTATGCCACGCATGCCACAGGTGGCACGCGAGCCATATCAAAGTATTGGCTCTGGTGCGCATGAGTGCGCTGGCCAACTGATTTTCAGCTGGCCCACCCACGCTGCTCTTCCCTTCTCAGGAGTCTTCACACAATACCAGGTAAGTACAGGGCTCGCACAGAGGCTCTGGGAGGTCATTTTTAGCCTCCAGAGGGCCTCCGGAGGGTGGGGGAGACCATTTTCACCCTCCCCAGGCTCCAGGAAAGCCTCTGGAGCCTGGGGAGGGTGAAAAACAGACCTACCAGGCCCACTGAAAGTCAGGAAATGGGCCATTTCCGGCCTCTGGAGGGCCTCCGGGGTGTGGGGGAGGCTGTTTTCCCTCTCCTCAGGCTCCAAGAAAGCTTCTGGAGCCTGGGGAGGTAAAAAACGGGTCCACCGGAAGTCAGGAAATGGGCCATTTCCAGCCTCTGGAGGGTCTTGGGGGGGCATTTTTGCCTTCCCCAGGCTCCAAAAAAAGCCATGTGTGTACGTGCAGGGCAGCGGGGGGCGGTGTTATGCATGCATTCGCAGGGGACACAGTGCAGGTGGGACATTACATTATGGGTGTGTGCTTTTGGCACCTGAGGGATAAAAGGTTCACCATCATTCATCTAGGGTTGCTTCAACATAATCTTGGCTATTTAGGATTGGAGTGTTTTTGTTCATTATGTGACACATAAAATCATAGCAAAGCTGTGGGAAAAAGCTTTTGAGGGAAACAGTAAATAGAGAATAGGGGAGTTTGAAAGGAGAATAGTAACAATTTATTCCATTTCCCCCCAAATAAGACCTCCCTGGATAATAAGTCAAATTGGGCTTTTGAGCGCATGCACTAAAATAAGCCCTCCCCTGAGAATAAGCCCTCCCTGAAAATATTGCAACACAGCAGAAGCCATGAAGTGACCATGCTCGTCGCCTACTGCACCTCAATAAGACCTCCCCAAAAATAAGGCCAAGCGCTTATTTCGGGGCTCAAAATAAGACCCTGTCTTATTTTCAGGAAAACACGGTAGCTATGTAAACCTGATTCCTGATTTAGGATGTGAGTTGCTTATACTATGGCTTGAAGATTTCCTTTTGAAAAGAACAATTATGATGTCTGCTCAGGAATAAAATGCTGTCATGAGCTCTTAAGATGGAAGTTGCTGAAGAGGCAACAACCGAACAGTATTTGGAGCATGGTGATTCACAAGATTTCTTAGCTGATTCTTCTATTGACCTCCCTGCTTGATGTGTGTGGTTTATTAGTGCCAGCCTATTTACAATTATTCCCCCAAACAAAGCCAAATCAGAACATTATCCATGCATAACTCTAATAATAATATTGTTTAAGAGTGACATTGACTTACCATAAGTTGTTGTTGGGATACATGAGAATCTAAAGGAGAAGGGCCAAGGAAAGAATGTGGTCCGTTTTGAGAAGCAAGGCTGATGTAGGGAAAGGTTTGAATAAACCATATGAAGATACTGAGATGTTCTTCTCATCTCCATGCTTTGCTGTAAAAGGTAAAAATAATGTACAAAGCTGTGGTATAGAATCTATGTAGAAAGGTTGATCATGGATTCTCTTTATTATCCATTCTCAGGTATTTCAATTCAAGAAAAGGTTGAATATTGCTTTGCACTTTCTATATGAATTAATTTCCATTACTGGAAATTTCCTTTCCTGGAAATTTCCTTTTCAAATAAAAACTTTTTATATTTATAAAAATTATTCCCAAATTAACATTTGAAATCCTTCAAGAACCGGGTAAATTCATTTTTAGGTCTAGATTTGGCATGTGAACTTCTGGTTGATCACTCCAGACACAATTTTAGTAGTTTATTACTTTTTTTCATGAGCTAAGTCCTTGCATGCTGTAAAGAAAACCAAAGAAAGTGTTTATTAACAACCTCTTCTATTTTCATTCTTGCATATGGATCCGTTCTACCATTATAAGCAGCTGTACCTCGTAAGTTTTGAAAGAGCATGGAAATAATGTATATGTAAACATATGCATGCTTTGTAAAAAAAAAAAAAGTGCAATTATTACCAGAATGTTTTTTTTTCAACCAGGGAGATATTAAAAGCAGAGCAATCACTTGGTTATCTTTAATATGCATTAAGCAGAAGCCCCATTCCTTTTGTGGAAATTGCGTGCTACTTTTGCCTAGTGAAAAAATGTTTTTCTTCTCATAGAAAAATGCTAGTTATAGGTAGTGCTCATATGCAAATTATTTTTAATTAAAGGTAAGCAGTATATATTTAGCCTGCCACTAAGGGGAAAATCAGATGTTATATCTGCAACCTAATTAATATTGATATGCAGGTCAGGTATTGCTTGCAATGCATATGGATACTAGTCACCTATTTCCACTTAAATACATCTAGTTTCATCCCTAAAACTCCCAGTTCATTTCTTTCTCATAATTCCTGGTAGATTTTCTTGATGGCAAAAGATAAAAGATTTTGAGGGATATTCAATTTCACAGAGAGACTTAATACATTGCTTTTAGCAGATACTAGAAATTGTTGGGGTTTAAAATTTTACATTTAATACATATTGACAAGTTATGGCCCTTCCTATTATAAAGATTTAGTAGAGCTGGCATATTCTTTGCAGGTCCATATCACCATAAGTAGGCTCTATTACCAACATATAGGTATCTGTCGTGGCCCAGCAGGAGCCGTTGGAGCTGCCACCAGACTCCGACAGTGAGAGGCCCTATGAGTCAATATGTATTA